GCATTAAATACGATAAAAACTAGTGGCCGTCTGCCGGTTCTTGTCGCCATGCTGCATGCCAAACAACGTTTTAATACTAGAAGTGTTAGTCTTAAATTGGTGCAGCATCAAGAGAAACAGATGGTCTCTCTTACTAGCATATACGCACATGTGCAGCTATGTTTGTACGCTACATGTGCACTATGTTTGATGACGCAGCCCGTTGCGGAAGTTGTCACTCGGGTGAAGCAACTTGAAGCGGAGGCTGGCCCATAGGATCCTCTTCACTGCGAGCTAGAGCACAGCATTCGCAAGGATGCCTGTCAGTGTTGCAGATCTGCAGGTCGACTATATGACGATCGTTGGCCACAAGGCCATAGCTGCATCTGGAATGGAAAAAATATTCAGATAGAAAAATGTCTGAGCAATGAGTCGATAACATTAGTGAAAGTCCCAACTGTGCTTTATGTGTCGGTGCTATATTTGGCTAGTTTTTGATCACTAATATTATTCCATCAGAGTATCATTATTAAATATGTAAACATTAGCAAGATTTGCGGGCTTGTAGATCTACGTATTTTGTAGAGACTAAATGGGCTTGCCTCACATTGACTTGCCAGCAAACCTGGGCACGTTGTCAGAAATAAATTAGCATTAACATTTTAGCATTAACGCTACCATGTTTCTGACAACGGCCCCTGTTTCCCCTGATTTGTGTACATCGTCGAGTTAGTGTGCAACGCTAGCTGCAGATTTTTGCTCGGTCCTGCCGTACGCCACAGGTTCCTTGCTGATTTCAGTTCTACGGTCCGCGCATCGGTGCGCTGTTGTAAGGTCACGGAGAAACACGCCATTGCATCCCGCTATGTTCGGCGGAGGTCAGGAGAGGGGCTTTCGTCGGGAACCGAGAACACAGCTATGATAGCAGGACTGGAAAGGCAGCCAGAGTTGGTGACGGGAAACATCGGGCAATTACGAAGCGCATATGACTCAGGTGCTCTGCATGCATGCGTCGGTGACATAATCTCTACAGCACGATACGTATTCCCTCACACACATCAGTCAAGTATTCCTCCGGTACACACGAGTCATGTATTCTCTCATAAACATTAGTCCATCTATTCCCTCATACACATCGGTCATCTATTCTATACTATAGAGGGCACCACCATTGTAACTTGGCTGCCTTGATTTATTCTATCTGGAGTTTTTTATATTTATGTTTTCCTGTAGGGGAATTGCAGGGGTAGCCATAGCAAAACGCCATCACTGCTCAGTGTTACACCAACTTAACTCAAGCGAGAGGAATAATATGGGCAGTGTTTACCAATATAGTGATAAAAAATATTCCTACTATATATTCCCTGTAACAACCAGTCATGTATTCCCTCATACACATCAGTCATTTATTCCCTCATACACATCAGTCATTCATTCCCCCATACACACCAGCCATGTACTCCCTCATACACATCAGTCATGTATTCCCTCATACACATCAGTCATTTATTCCCTCATACACATCAGTCATTCACTCCCCCATACACATCAGTCATTCATTCCCTCATACACATCAGTCATGTATTCCTTCATACACACCAGTCATTCATTCTATCATACACATCAGTCATTCATCCCCTCATACACATCAGTTCAGTAATGTTAAGTATTTCATATTCAATTCCTTGATACACATCTGTGTTTGGTCAGGTATTCTCCTCTGCATATCTGTTAGGTATTTCCTCCAGCATACGTGACTGTTGGTTACACCACCTCTTACACAACCCTCTCACATCTTTCCTCCTTCCCATGCCCGTATCTTTCTCTCCCTTATGCATCTGCCAGGTGCCACAGAGCAACGATTCGCAATGCAGTGGTTCGTGGTTTCATGTCTATAACGTTCATGATTCGTTGCTTTTCAAGGTTCGTGATCAACTGAAGGACAAGCTCAGATTGCAATTCGGTGAAGCGGTTACATTCAACAGCGAGTTTCCTGCCAAGACGAGGGTGCTCCCAAACACTTGCAATGTGTCTTTTCACGGGCGCAATCGTCAAGGTATACTCCCTAGCGTAATGTTGACATAAAGCCTGGCGCACACGTGAGTAATTTTACTCAAGTAAAATGATGCATGCGTCAAAATACTCACGTGTGCGGCGGATTTTCGTTGAGTATTTTGTTGCATGCGTCAAAATACTCACGTGTGCGGCGGATTTTCATTGAGTATTTTGACGCATGCATCATTTTACTTGAGTAAAATTACTCACGTGTGTGCCGGGCTTAATGCACCCATTTTCGTTGTTGCATTTCTGTTGTAGGTGTTAGTGCACGGCATTTACCAGGGTGTCTTATTTATGTCAGTGTTTGTCTGGTATCATTCCAGGATATAAGATCTTGGGAGCTTGTAAGAGACTGCAGGCCAGTGTAGGAGCTGCTTGCCATTCCCATGGGAGGCAAGAACCACTTGTTATTTGTCAGGACTCGACTTACGAGACGTAGTTTCTAGCGTACAGTAACAAACCCATTAGCAAATATTTCTTATAGCATCAAATTTCTTAAGATAGATATATTATATAAATGGTTTCTTATAAAAATTAACTTCAATGTAACTCTTTGTGAAACTGTATAAAGTAAAGTTTTTTTCATAAAATCGCGGCATGGCATGGCATGACATTGTATGCTTGTATTCAAAGTAAATTAACATTTTATAAACTTGTGTGTTTTACAATTATTATTTTCGACTAATGAACATAGAAGATACTATTAACATCGACTGTTGTTTGCAGTGTGTCTAAAGTACTGCTCGCCTGTGGAATACCTGCTGAGGATGCCATCAACGCGATTAGGCTGAGTGTCGGCAGAGCCACGACTTTCCGTGATATAGATGAGGTGATTGTGGATCTATGTGAAGCCCTGCAATCCATCGATCAACATGCAGGTAGCTGAATGCACTCACCTGTACAGGTGTGTCTATGTGAAGCTCTACGATGCATCGATCAACATGCAGGTAGCTGAATGCACTCACCTGTACAGGTGTGTCTAATGTGTAAGGGCCCTACGATCCACTCGGATCAACATGCAGGTAGCTGAGAGCACTTAACCTATACATGGTGTGTCTATGTGAAGCTCTTGTACGATCATCAATCAAACAATGGCAGGTAGCTGAATGCACTACCTATAACAGGTGTGTCTATGTAATACGCGCTGCTACGATCCATCGGATCAACATGCAGGTAGCTGAATTGCACTCACCTGTACAGGTGTGGTCTAATGTTGAAGCTCTCCGATCCATCTAATCAACATGGCAGGTAGCTGAACTGCACTCACCTATACAGGTGTGTCGTCTATGTGAAGCCCTACCGATCCATCGATCACATTGAGGCTAAGCTGAATGGCAGCTTCACGCTGTAGCAAGATGTGTCTATGTGGAAGCTCTACGATCCATCGATACATCATTGCAGGTAGCTGCATCTACACTCACCTGTACAAGCGTGTGTCTTATTGTGAATGTCAATTATGCTCCAGCAGTGGCCCACTGCCACCACTTCCATGAAGTGTGTAAGTCCTGGTCGTTGACACAGGCTGCTCTCCTGCAGAGGGGCAACACTAGTTGTAAATGAATTTGATTAATATAATTAACATATAATTAATGTACACAATCGAAAATAATATGTATCTCGGAATTTGATGGACAGTTGCTAGAGATGCTATACGTTGGATAAAGTTGATGGAATTGGTTAGAGAGCCTGACGTCAATGTGTTTGCTAGGAAGCGACATTGACATCTGTTCGTGCCTACTAATCAATATTTTTTTTGAAGAATGGCAGATTGTGTGGTTTATCATCTGATTAACTGCCAATGGTCAGTGTGTATGGAATTCTGCAAAACAGTGAGCTGGCATGATAAAAACCTTTGTGTAATGACTGCTAGTTATGCAGAGAATATACGTTTAGTTATTAATATGATCTAGTTATCGTGCTTGAATAATATGATAAGAAATGATAAGTTGTAATTTCCCAGTACAGAATCGGTGTAGAGGCTGTCATTCTGGTTTGCTATGGGATGGCATAACAGACGTATCTTTTCCATATTGTACAATGTGTTGGGGCCGCCATGCATGTTTATTAGTATCACACGGTAATGTGAGCTAGTACCAAGTAAATAAGTATTTACCGATAGCCGCAACAACAAAAAACTTTTATCGTTTTATCACAAACTGTAATAAATGCATGAAATTACAATGAAACTGTGTCGTTTTGTATGTAATATACGCAATATAAGTGAATCACATCAAAAGGGTGAAACTGAGCGCCTGATTAAAAAAACGATGCTTCTGTAGCCAGATGATTACATAAATTTGCCGCAGTCGTATTTTTGTGGTGGGGGGGGAGGCGTAGATTGCTGTATCTAGTCCAAACACGTTGGTTGTGTTTAAGTCGGGCGCCCTAGCGGAGCTCTGAATGTACACGTCGCCAACCGTCGAGCCAGCATCTCTAAGTGTCGCGCGCGTCTAACTGCTGCAGGTTATTGCTGTGCAGAATGTTAGAACTGGCAGGGATGGGCGATGAGCGCACACGCCTTCCTACCCTTGCCAATGCAAACTTGCCCATTCCCAAGGCTTGCCTATTTTCTTAAGTATCATGAATACAGCAGTTCGGGCATTCCAACAGTGATCGAGACACTAGTGTAGCCTTTCTTAAGTGTCGAGAGGCCACGAGTCCTACCCATTTCTAAACACGATGCTACAAAGGTGCACACAACAACCTTGCCTGGCAGAACGGCCAGACACTCCATGCGTCTGCATTCGTGTGAGTAAAGTACAGGGCAAAATTGTAAACATCCAAGTCAAGGCAAACGCCACGAGAGACCTGCTGTGACAGTGACCGTTGCCTTCGCTGCTAATGTAAATTGCCTCGTCTGGGACTGCCAAACGGGCCCTTTAATAGCACGTTGCGTCGTTCTATAGAGTCGCCTGGCTTAATATAGCGTTGACTATACGTATACACACAACTTGGCGCACTCGAGATTTCTATTTTCTCAAGCATTATGAGTGTAGAGGTTATGCCTTACACATACCTCTTAGCTGTCAGCTAACCAAAGTGAGTTTAATGGCTAAAACAGAATCACCCGTGCCACGGTATTGAAAAAGAAGGGACCAGTCATTATTTGGCCAGCTCAAGCCTATAAATCGTGCTAAGTTAGGTCCAGGATGTATGTAACCAAGGCAATCGTGCCAAAAAGTGAACCCGTATGAGAGCGTAGTGTATGCCGAATGTACTGATTTCTGCATGTGTGATATTACGTATAAGCAAAGTCTTCCCTCTGCCCTAGGCCGCGCAATCAGCGCCCTCCTTGTTTGAATACCCATCCTAGTTCGCCCGCTTGCTGTGATTCATGATGTCGATGGCAACACCGTGAAAGCTACTGGCTTGCAGATGTTCCTCAAAAACTTGCGTCGTGACCGCGGCTTACTCCACGGATTCACAGATGTCAGGCCGAAATCGTGCGAGAACAACAACATGGTGCCAACCCCCGATGCGACTGTTACACCGCCTCCCCCCCCCCACCCATATGCCCTGAGCAAACGTAAGGGGAGAAACGAGCGCGGGAACCCGAGTAAGAACCCGGCAAAATGTGCGCCACCCCCCCCCCTCCTCCACACGCGCGCGCGTACGCCACAATCTTCCACGGCGGCATGGAACACAGGGGGGAGAACAGGAAGCGGTAGCAATTGCGCATAGCACAACATGAGAGACGATCGGAGGTCGCGTTTGGTGACGGTATGCAGTGTCACTGGATAGGCTGACAGTGTTTTAGAAACTCGGACACATTCCGATTCGACTCACTCTAAAGAAGAGACATTTAGCTACTCACTCACACTCACGTTTCAACTCACTAAATGGCTGCGCGTTCCAATTTCTACATCGAATGATGCACACACATTACGTCAGGACTAAATTGCTACTTCGTCGGATTAATTTAATGCGGCCTTATCGGTGCGCGGTAAACTGATCTCCTTTCTTTTCTAAATTGCACTCATTTCATCTGGTAATTGCATCTCGCGTGCCCAGCACGTGGGCCTTACCCCCCCCCCCCCCACTCCTCCTTTCCCGTCATCTGGCCTTTTTTTTTCCTTCCTCCGCGCCAACGCCACACGCACTTGGATCGGTTTATAATACAAATAAAATCCTTAAATAAATGCCGAAATCGATTTACTACCACAAGTCTTTAATGGTTCTCTTACTCCTCTTTCGCCTATTAATTAGCCGACAATTTCTGTAAGTGCCGTGCAAATGGCTTATCCTGCCAACACACATGCTACACGGCGCATGCACGCTGCCGCACACTGACACCTAAATATATAGTTTGTATTTTTATTATTTATAATATTTTTATTTCATTATTACTATATATTTTAGAGTGCTGTCACGTTGTGGGCGGGCGCAGGCGTGGCGCGTGCGGGTGTACATGTGTGTTGCCATGAGCGAGCATTTGCACGAGCATTCACAGCGAAATTGTCGGCAATAATAAGGTGAAGAGCGAGTAGAGAAACATTAAGACTCGGTAGTAAATCGATTGTCGTATTTATTTAGCATTTGTATACTTTTATTGGAAACGGCTCCAAGTGCCTCGTGCCTGTCCTGTGGGCCTGCCCACGCTGCTCGAGGCAGCTTCCGACTTGTAAACGCACCTCCCATCCCCACCCACCCCCGCCCAACTGCATCATCACAGGCCAGCACAGCTCGCACGCTGCCTCTAGTAGGAGTAAGTGCGGATACTGAAGCCAGGAGCCGGCAGACGAGGCGTCGTAAGCAGAACATTCAGTCGCCACAGTACAAGGTTTGTTGCAGACCGACGGGCGGTTCACCACTCACCTAGTATCAATTGTCGTTAGTATCTGAAGGAGCTATAACTCCACTGCACTGCTGGCGTTATAGGACGCGTCCCGTCTGGTAAACACGACGTGCGTTGGTAGTGCCTGTCGTCGGTACCGTGTGTGACACACGCACGCCTAACCGGCACGGACGCGCGCGGTGTACGCACGCGCAACGCACCCACGCACACATATACCACGGAGCGCACGCACACATACTCGCGCGACACCAACACACATACACGACATGTCGCGTCAGCACACACCACACACACACAGCAAGCACACACACACACACAGCACACACACACACACGCACACAGCATCGAGTGAACTGTCAATTACCGACAGGAGTGACAGCGACGCGAGGCAAACAGCTTATCTGCAGTGCCGTGTGTGGCATGTTGACTGTCCCGAGTTGCAAAAAAAACAATAGTCAAGAAAAACTAGACAAAAGAAGAAGAAAAAGAGAAAGAAAAGGAGGTCTTCGGCGTGTCGCTATCGATGACCAGTCGCGAAAGTTGATGCAAACGAAATTTCATTCACGATAATCCGAATCGGAGATAAACCCACGCATACCACACCTCCGTAGTACACGAAAAGAATCGCCGCAGCCTCGTCGTCCTGTTTGCCGTATCACCTTGGCAACCTGCCGCTGGAGATTGCTGGCTTCTTCAACGAATTGCGTCGCAGCCGACTATTATATGACAAAGAGAGATATACTGAATTTCGCAAGGCGAACATGCGTAGAAGCGCTGTAAGTGGCCATGAAAGGTACGCCTTCGAGTTCACGCAGCTGGTGAGCTAGAACGATGTTGAGAGATTGTTTTCTGGTAGTACTCAGACTGGGTCCTAATGCGCATAGCAGCTTAGGGTTAGGCGTGGCTAATCAGCAAAAGTGCAATGTATATTTATACCTAAATGCCCATTTAACTCGAACGCTATTATTCATTAGGACAAATATTCATGCCATATTATATGTGCGTTCTATAAGATTTTACAATCTTTTGGCTTTTAAAATGAATAAATAAGAAACACCCTCGTGCTGTAGCCCTTCCTGAAAGTGGTTACTTGGCGCAAACTTATCAGATCGTGTGCTGTTGAGTGGCGCCACCGCTCGTTGCGAATTCAAACTGTAGTCGTTAGTTTTAAAACATTAAAAAAAAATATTTCTAATGGTGTATTGAACGCCATGAAAGCTTTTTTATGCTAACCTAATTATAACCTAAATTAGCTGAAAATAACCCTAGAACTAGCAGAGGTAAACTCTCCTTTAAGCATTTTACGCTGCCGGCGTTATGACATCATGGGTAATGGTTCCTTGGGTATAATATATATATATTTATATCACTAATATAGTAAAGCTGTGAAGCGAAGGTTACCTCCTCAAATAGCGTAAACTTTTTTTCCGTGGGCAACTTTGCCAAAAACGTCTTACGATAAATGTAAGGTTTTCTGCGATTTCGGCCATGTGCGTAGGCATTACGTGTTTTTGTCTACTTCCTGCCTACGCTATACTTACTTTGTAGGACTACGGACTTTGCCTCTCATTAGCGCAGATAGCAATTAATAAACATCCAAGTTAGCAATGCGCAGCCAGCGCCACCCTACTCTATCCGTGACACGAGTTTTCGCAGGCGACAGATATCATCATCCAAGCTGGTGCCTAGGGCCTCGGGCCCCACAGTGGCGCAATAATACACTGGTGGCAAGTGATGCAGCCACTTTGCTTTGGCTGGAGGCGTATATAGCTTACAAGCAACGCAAGGCTTACCACACACTACTATAATTATATAGGGAAGGGCCTTAGGCCCCCTTGCATACACCAATACAGTATATATGCTGGCCCTTGAATGGGCTGCCCCAGACATACGCTATACTCACAACTATATAGATGCATTTAGCTGATGCGCCACCGCATGATACAATGACTATCTATGTGCCCTTGGGGCTCCATCGATAAACCATTCTATATTACAATACTGAGTATAGGTAGTCTTAGGCCCCCGCGCCAAAGCAATTACTATATAGTGGCTTGGGCCGCCCATCATACCATTATTATGAAGATTCTATTATTAGGCTGGCCTTAGGCCCCGGGCGGCGGCATCCATACTATACTAGTGGCCTTGGGCCCCCATCATACCACCGTTCTATTTTTACAATACTATATAGGTGGCCTTAATTAGGCCTCCGTCAATAACAAAGACTATATTGTGGGCCCTTGGGCGCCTCCATCATATACACTATTTTAAAAATTCTATATAGGTGGCTTCAGGCCCCCATCATAAGCAAATATTTAACGCGGCAACACTATAGTACAGGGTGCTATTTAGTAACTTAACGAGTGCTTGGGCACGGCGCCTTGTCTTGTTTTTTCTCTTCTTTAATGGCAATATCTATGCCTATAGGTAATACAATCGGCACTATACCATCGTTTAATTGTTTTAGGCATTACTAAAATACGTAAACAAAAGAATTATTTCGGTCGCGGAGGCCGTTAATGTAGTCGGAGCGAGCTGACGGGGGCTGGAGGCCAATGGAGAGGGCGGAGGAGAACATTGCATATAAGGTTCCCGCTGTGCTATCCAGCGCAGCACAGACGGGCGGTCGTCACAGATTTGTACCAGGGTGCGGGGGGGGGGGGTCCTAAACCGTAACCCAACCTTGGCGAGCACGGCAAGGGGGGGTGCTGAAATTAGACCGCCTTAGATGCGTTTTTCTGCGCGAGCAGGGGGTCGCGACCGCCCTGGAGCCCCCCCCCCCCCTCGTACACGCCCGCTGCACAATCTGTGCTGCGGCGGGAGTTAGTGGCCTAGTAATTGAGGCGAAGCGCAATATTGGCATAACCAAGGAGTTGCTATCTTTGTGTGATGAACATATACAATATTAAAATGGAACATTTAGCGGATAAGATCATCTCAGCATAGCATTTCCCTAAATAAACTTATCACGTAGACCTATGTTTATAATTAGGAGACGGCGCCTAGCATATGGTAGGCGTACAAACACCTACTCTATGCCTTCGCGTCCTTCCCCTTGGGCCTCCCTAGCTGTCCCTCGGCTCAGCTTCCTTCTTTTTCTACTTGGCTCCCCAGCTATCTTCTCTGCCGCCTTTCCTTAGTCTCCCATCCCCTCTCCCCCTCAGCAAGCTATATTATGAAGTTTGCTTCAGACGGCACTGCACGCCTAACACGGTGCGTGCGCATGCGCAATACCTCCCGTGAGCAATCGTATTTTGCAAAGATTATGCATTTAAAATAAAGAGGAGTTATCCTAGCATAGATTTATATGATAATATTACATCAGTAAACATCATTTAAGAAATAGGAGGAAGACCTTGCATGTAAGGTCCCCGCTGCGTATACAAGCCAGTACACAATCTGACTACGTTAGTGTGTTAGCGCGTGCGCAATATCTCACTAGAGGAGTTATATTTTGTGATGAATATGCATTTAAAATGGTTAAAGGGTATTTCAGAATAGATTTCCCTAATAAACTTTTATCAGTAGACCTGTCTTTATAATTAGGAGAGCGCCCTAGCATGTAGGGTACAAAACATCTACTTTATGCCCTCGCGTTCCACCCCGTCACTTGCAGTTTTGCTCCAGATAGGAAGGTGCTGCTACCTGGTGGGCGCTTACGCCGATAACCAAGGCTTGTAAGCTCTGCGTGCGGAGAATGTGGATACATCGAAAGCTGTGATCTTATTTCTAGCGAAAGGTTTTGCGGCTAATACGAGATCACACCCTGAATTGCAAAAAACGTTGTTAGTTGTGTGTGATCTGTGTTCCACGTGATGTGTCCGACGAAGAGCAAGCGCTTAAAAACACTGGTGAAGAATATGAATAAAAAAAATCTACAGAAACATTATAGACGGAACTTTATCTGACGTCCAAGATCGGCATCCTGTTTATTTTAACACGAAATCAAATGCATTCCCTAAGCATCCATTAGATAAACATTCCGAGCAAATATAGCCTCGTGAGTTTCATGCGCGTTTTTTGGTAGGGGAGCGCACCCGGTGTGTTTTCGCTAAATATTTAATTTCATTTCGAATATGGCATTTTATGAAAACATTCAACAGCTGTCAGCTCCGATTTCCCAGTGAATTTAAATATAGCAGGCAGAATAAAGTACTGCCTGCATAAAGACCTGTTCTGTGTAATACGCTTATGTAATCAATTTTATAGTAAATATACTATACATTGAATATATTATATCTTATTATCTAAATGTATATTGTGCGTTTTTCGATTTTTCGAAAAAAGAAAAGAATGATAGTCCACTGTTTGTAAGTGCAATTAATATAACATATCATACCTAATTTGGTCGTTGGTACCTTTAGCGAATAGTTGTGGATTTCATTAGTTCGTGTGGTTGTTGTAAAAAATATCCACACGTGGAGGTTTTATCAAAAAGCATACGGCGGAAAGTCAAGAATATTCAACCCGTTTGTTTGTTTATATTCAACGCTTTTAGCGGTTAGTGTTTTTGTTAGAGTGTTCTAATGGTTATCAACTAAACCCATATCTGTAATATAGTCGTGAAGGGGCCTCTCACGATGTTCTACTCATATGTACATGTACATGGAAAGCTTTTGCCTCGAACATTTGGCAAGTAACAGTGGAACCGAGTAGGCCTAATATATGGCTGAGAGGATGCTACATGAATAATGGCTGTATCGCTCGAATACACGAATCGTTAAAAGAAGATTACCTTCCTCTCTCGGTCTATATATATATATATATATATGTGTGTGTGTGTGTGTGTGTGTGTGTATTAGTTATTAATGAACATTACCGTATTGATGCCATCCTATAGTATAGTTATAGTACTCGCAGGTAGTGACGGATGTTAATCTACCGTTCATTTATATTGAAACTCAGAGGCGACGTACATTTCCATCGCAAAAGATTCGGGTCAGGTCAGCGTAGAAGATGTTATTGACAGCATCCGGGAGAACACGGTGCTCATCAGCTTGATGTTGGCCAACAACGAGACGGGAGCCATGCAGGTGTGTGAAGCCATTCCCACCGTATAGTTGCACTTCATATTCAAAGCCTGTCTAATATTCAATCGCAGAGGCGAGGCGCACGTTGATTTTGAAGCTGTGCCGGGATGCCTGTGTTTGATTGTGTGGACAATGCGCATCTCTCTATCCTCTAGTGTCTCTACATCTGCCATACTTGTTGCTGCTTCCTTTGCATTCCCTCTCATCAATTGTTCATTATCTCTGCATCAAATACGGATAAAAACTAGTGGCGTCTGTCGCTTCTTGCCCATGCTGCATGCCAACACGTGTTGTAATACGTAGAAGTGTTAGTCTTAAATTGCAGCATCAGAGGGAAGCATGTGGTCTCTTACTAAGCATATACGCTACATGTGCAGCTATGTTTGATACGCTACATGTGCAGCTATGTTTGATACGCTACATGTGCAGCTATGTTTGATACGCAGCCCGTTGCGGAAGTTGTCACTCGCGTGAAGCAACTTGAACGGAGGCTGCCCCATAGGATCCTCCTTCACTCCGATGCAGCACAAGCATTCGGCAAGGTGCCTGTCAGTGTTGCAGATCTGCAGGTCGACTATATGACGATCGTTGGCCACAAGGTACATAGCTGCATCTGGGAATGGAAAAAATATTCAGATAGAGAAATGTCTGAGCAATGAGTCGATAACATTAGTGAAAGTTCCCAACTGTGCTTTATGTGTCGGGTGCTATATTTGGCTAGTTTTGGATCACTAATATTATTCCATTCAGAGATATCATTATTAAATATTGTAAACATTAGCAAGATTTGCGGCTTGTAGATCTACGTATTTTGTAGAGACCTAAATGGGCTTGCCTCACATTGACTTGCCAGCAAACCTGGGGCACGTTGTCAGAAATAAAATTAGCATTAACATTAGCATTAACGCTACCATGTTTCTGACAACGGCCCCCTGTTCCCCTGATTTGTGTCACTCGTCAGTTAGGTGCATACGCTAGCTGCAGAATTTTGCTCGGTCCTGCGTACGCCACAGTGTTCCTTGCTGATTTCAGTTCTACGGTCCGCGCATCGGTGCGCTGTATGTAAGGTCACCGGGAGAAAACACGCCATTGCATCCCGCTATGTTCGGCGGAGGTCAGGAGAGGGGCTTTCGTCCGGGAACCGAGAACACAGCTATGATAGCAGGACTGGGAAAGGCAGCCGAGTTGGTGACGGGAAACATCGGGCAATACGAAGCGCATATGACTCAGGTGCTCTGCATGCATGCGTCGGTGACATAATTCTCTACACACGAGTCACGTATTCCCTCACACACATCAGTCAAGTATTCCTCCGTACACACGAGTCATGTATTCTCTCATAAACATTAGTCATCTATTCCCTCATACACATCGGTCATCTATTCTATACTATAGAGGGCACCACCATTGTAACTTGGCTGCCTTGATTTATTTCTATCTGGAGTTTTTTTATATTATGTTTTCCTGTAGGGGGATTGCAGGGGGTGAGCCATAGCAACACGCTATCACTGCTCAGTGTTACACCAACTTAACTCACGAGAGGGGAATAATATGGGCAGTGTTACCAAATATAGGATAAAAAATATTCCCTACTATACTATTCCCTCGTACACACCAGTCATGTATTCCCTCATACACATCAGTCATTCATTCTCTCATACACACCAGTCATTCATTCCCCCATACACACCAGCCATGTACTCCCTCATACACATCAGTCATGTATTCCCTCATACACATCAGTCATTCATTCTCTCATACACATCAGTCATGTATTCCTTCATACACACCAGTCATTCATTCTATCATACACATCAGTCATTCATCCCTCATACACATCAGTTCAGTAATGTTAAGTATTTCATATCAACATCCTTGATACACATCTGTGTTTGGTCAGGTATTCTCCTCTGCATATCTGTTAGTATTTCCTCCAGCATACGTGACTGTTGGTACACCCACTCTAACAACTCCTCTCAATCTTTCCTCCTTCCCATGCCCGTATCTTCTCTCCCTTATGCATCTGCCAGGTGCACAGAGCAACGATTCGCAATGCAGTGGTTCGTGGTTTCATGTCTATAACGTTCATGATTCGTTGCTTTTCAAGGTTCGTGATCAACTGAAGGACAAGCTCAGATTGCAATTCGGTGAAGCGGTTATCATTTCAACAGCGAGTTTCCTGCAAGACGAGGGTGCTCCAAACACTTGGAAATGTGTCTTTTCACGGCGCAATCGTCAAGTATTACTCCAGTAGCGTAATGTTGGACAGAAAGCCCCATGACCGCGCACACGTTAGAGTAATTTTACTATCAGTAAAATGACTGCAATGCCGTCAAAATACTACACGTGTGCGGCGGATTTTCGTTGGAGTATTATTGTTTGCATGCTGTCAAATATCTACTTCACGTGTTGACTGCGCTGGATTTTCATTGAGTATTTGGACGCGATGCAGTTCATTTTACTTGAGTAAAAATATTACCACGTGTGTGCGCGGGCTAAATGCAACCCATTTGTCGTTGCTTGCATCTCTGTTGTTAGTGTTAGTGCAGCGGCATTACCCAGGGTGTCTTATTTATGTCAGTGTTTGTCTGGTATCATTCCAGGATATAGATCTTGGAGGCTTGTAAGAGAGCAGGCCAGTGTAGGAGCTGCTTGCATTCCCATGGAGCAAAAACCACTTTGTTATTTGTCAGGACTCGACTTACGAGCATCGTAGTTTCTAGCGTACAGTAAACAAACCATTAGCAAATATTTCTTATAGCATACAAATTTCTTAAGATAGAATATATATATAAATGGTTTCTTATAAAAAATTAACTTCAATGTAACTCTTTGGTGAAACTGTATAAAGTAAAGTTTTTTTCATAACATCGCGGCATGGCATGGCATGACTTGTATGCTTGTATTCAAAGTAAATTAACATTTTATAAACTTGTGTGTTTTACAATTATTATTTCGACTAATGAACATAGAAGATACTATTAACACATCGACTGTTGTGTTGCAGTGTGTCTAAAGTACTGCTCGCCTGTGAATACTCCTGCTGAGGATGCCATTCAACGCGATTAGGCTGAGTGTCGCAGAGCCACGACTTTCCGTGATATAGATGAGGTGATTGTGGATCTATGTGAAGCCCTGCAATGCCATCGATCAACATGCAGGTAGCTGAATGCACTCACCTGTACAGGTGTGTCTATGTGAAGCTCTACGATCCATCTATCAACATGCAGGTAGCTGAATGCACTCACCTGTACAGGTGTGTCTATGTGAAGCTCTACGATCCATCTATCAACATGCAGGTAGCTGAATGCACTCACCTATACAGGTGTGTCTATGTGAAGCCCTACGATCCATCGATCAACATGCAGGTAGCTGAATGCACTCACCTGTACAGGTGTGTCTATGTGAAGCTCTACGATCCATCGATCAACATGCAGGTAGCTGCATGCACTCACCTGTACAGGTGTGTCTATGTGATGTCAATTATCTCCAGCAGTGCACTGCACTTCCATGAAGTGTGTAAGGTCTGGGTTGACACAGGCTGCTCTCCTGCAGAGCAAACTAGTTGTAAATGAATTTGGATTAATTAATCTAAATTAATTTAATGTACACATCGAAAATAATATGTAATCTCGGAATTTGATGGAAGTTGTAGAGATCTATACGTTGATAAGTGATGGAATTGGTTAAGAGCCTGACGTCAATGTGTTTGTAGGAAGGACATGCATCTGTCGTGCACATCAATATTTTTTTGAAATGGCAGATTGTGTGGTTTTCATCTTGTTACTGGCAATGGTTCAGTGTGTATGGAATTCTGCAAACAGTACTGGCATGTATAAAATCCTTTTGTGTAATGACTGCTAGTTATTGCAGAGAATATACGTTTGTTATTTTAATATGATCTAGTTATCGTGTCTTGAATAATATGATAAGGAAATGATAAGTTGTATTCCCAGTGAATCGGTGTGTGAGGTGTCATTCTGGTTTGTATGGATGCATAACGACGTATCTTTCCATATTGTACAATGTTGTGCACCATGCATGTTAGTAGTATCCACGGTAATGTGAGCTAGTACAGTAAATAAGATTTTACCGATAGCCGCAACACAAAAAACTTTTATCGTTTATCACAAATTAAATGCATGAAATTACAATGAACTGTGCGTTTTGTTATGTATATACGATATAGTGAATCACATCAAAAGGGTGAAACTGAGCGCTGATTAAAAAACGATCTTCTGTAGCAGATGATTACATAAATTTGCAGTCGTATTTTTTGTGGTGGGGGGGGAGGGTTAGATTGTGTATCTAGGTCCAAACACGTGTGTGTGTTTAAGTCAGGCCCTAGCGGAGCTCTGAATTACAGTCGCCACCTCGAGCCAGCATCTCTAATGTCGCCCGTCATATGCTGCAGGGTTTATGCTGTGCAGATGTTAGTAACTGGAGGGATGGGCGGATGAGCCACACGCCCCTACCCCTGCCATGCAAACTTCCCATTCCCAAGGCTTGCTATTTTTAAGTATCATGATACAAGTTCGGGCATTCCAAAGTGTCGAGACACTAGTGTAGCCTTTCTTAAGTGTCGAGGCACGAGTCTACCCATTTCTAAACACGATCTACAAGTGCACAACAACTTCCTTGGCAACGCCAGACACTCCATGCGTGCATTCGTGTGAGTAAGTACAGGCAAAATTGTAACATCCAATCAAGGCAAACGCCACGAGAGACCTGTGTGACAGGTGACCGTTGCTTCGCTATGTAATTGCCTCGTCAAGGGACCGCCAAAACCGGCCTTTATATGCACGTGGTCGTTCTATAGAGTCGCTGCTAATATAGGTTTGAATGATACGTATACACACAACTTTCGCACTCGAGATTTTATTTCTCGGCATTATGAGTGTAGAGGTATCCTTACAACTACCCTTAGCTCAGTAACAAAGTGAGTTTATGCTAAAACAAATCACCCGTGCCACGGTATGAAAAGAAGGGATACCAGTCATTATTGCCAGCTTCAAGCTATAATCGTTGTCAAGTAGGCCAGGATGTATGTAACAAGCAATCGTGCAAGTGAACCCGTATGAGAGCGTAGTGTGTGCGATGTACTGATTTCTGCATGTGTATTACGTATAGCAAAGTTTCCTCTCCTAGGCGCGTAACAGGCCCTCCTTTGTTTGATACCCATCCTAGTTCGCTGCTGCTGTGATTCATGATTGATGGCAACACGTGAAAGCTACTGGCTGAGATGTTCTCCAAAACTTGGTCGCTGACCGCGGCTACTACGATCACAGATGTCAGGCGAATCGTGGAGACAACACATGTGCCACCCCGATGCGACTTACACCGCCTCCCCCCCCAGGAGATTAATAAATAAATATATAAAAATAAAATACAAACTATATATTTATGGTGTCAGTGGTGCGGCAGCGTATGCGTCCGGTAACATGTGTGCTTGGCAGGAAAGCAATTTGCACGGCACTTTACAGAAATCTGTCGGCATAATTAAAGCGAAGAGGAGTTAGAGAACCATTAAAGACTTTGGTAGTAAATCTGATTTCGGCTTTATTTAGGCAATTTATATTTGTATTATAACCGACCAAGTGCCTGTGGCGTTGGCGGGAGGAAGGAAAAAGCCAGATGACGGGAAAGGAGGAAGTGGGGGGGGGGGGGGGGTAAAGGCCCACGGTGCTGGCAACGCGAGAGTGTAATTACCGACGAGAAATGAGTGGCAATGTTAGAAAAGAAAGGAGATGCAGTTTAGGCACCGATAAGGCCGCAATAAATTATCCGACGAAAGTGCAATTTAGCTGACGTAATCGTGTGTGCAATCATTCGATGTAGAAATTGACGGGCAAGCCATTTTAGGAGTTGAAAACGTGAGTGTTGAAGTGAGTAGCTCAAATGTCTCTTCTTTAGAGTGAAGTCCGAATTCGAATGTGTCCCGAGTTCTTCTAAAACCTGTTCAGCCTATCCAGTGACCTGCATACCGTCACAAACCGACCTCCGATGTCTTCATTTGTGCTTATGCGCATTGCTACCGCTTCCTGTCTCCCCCTGTTTCCATGCCGCCGTGGAAGATTTCGTGCGTAACGCGGCCGGCGTGGTGGAGGAAGGGGGGGGGGTGGCGCACATTTGTGCTCAGCAATATGGGTGG